ATCTACTAGAACAACAACCTAACAGTCCATCAGGTTATTATATACTGGCAGGTACTAATGGAACATATTCTACATACTGTAATATGGGAACATTGTGTGGTTCAGTAGGAGCATGGACAAGACTAGCATATCTGGATATGACTGATGCTACAATGAACTGTCCTTCTGGGTTTAGACTGTACCAGTCAGGAGGAGTTAGAGCTTGTGGTAGACCAGCAACAAGCAGTGGTAGTTGTGTATCAGTTCAGTTCTCATCTGATGGTATCAGTTATTCTCAGGTGTGTGGTAGAGTAACAGGATATCAATATGGATCACCAGATGCACTACACAATGAAGGTAACAATCATCGCAATAACACTAATTCTTCATACATTGATGGTGTTAGTATCACTCGTGGGTCTTCTCGTCAACATGTCTGGTCACTAATCGCTGGTATTAGTGAAATAAGTTCTTCATCAGAAACAAACAGATGTCCATGTAATACTGGTAGTACAGTACCAGTGCCACCTTTCATTGGTAGCAACTACTTCTGTGAGTCAGGCAATTCTATTATTGACTTGTCACAGACTCCCTACACATCTGATCCACTCTGGGATGGTCAAGGTTGTGGTTCTAACGAAACAGCTTGTTGTAATGTTCCTGGTATCCCATGGTTTCACAGAGACTATGGTAGCACTACCACTACTGACTATATTGAGTTGAGGGTGTGTGGAGATGAGGGAACTACTAATGAAGATGTTCCTGTTAGCTTTTATGAGATTTATGTTAAGTAGTGACGTATGAGTGGTGTTTGTAATGTACACGTACGATACAAGTTGTTTGATGGTTCATTTCAATTTTTTTCTCATTAGTATTGTAATCAAACTTTTTATAATTATTAGTATTGTATCCCTAATCAACATCTATCAAGAGATGACATCAATTCCCAATGCTTTTGATACTATGCACTAAAATTGCTTTATCATGTTATGCTGCAACTCTCAGGAAACAGCTCTATCATGCTCTACCAGTCAGCCATTATGCTCCCAATTATTCCCATGAATTTCATTATAATAACCTAGCCCCACCCAAAAATGTGAGATTATGAAGTTCTTGAGTATTGTGAGCACAAAGTAGCTATTAAACATAATTTTAAAAAGTGTAATATCTATGGTAATACCCGAGGACTGAGATATCATTTTCATGTATATCTGATACACCACTTGGGGTCATGTTTTGAGTAATATATAGAACATGACCCCGAGTGGTGCATCAGATATACACTCAAATAATATTCATAATCCCGAGGGCGTAGCCCGAGGGATTATGAATATCATTTGAGTGTATACCACGAGGAAAAGGTCATGTTCTATATGGCTTGTATAATAGGAAGCCATAAGAAGGACAGGTTATGCGCATGCTCAGTAGCACGTGGTAGGCCTGTAAGGGACCAATATGGCTGAAGGAGGAGAACCACGAGAAAAAAAAAACAGCAAAAGAAGCGAATGAAAATGTCTAAAGCGCTCAAGAAGGGTTAGCCTGCGTTAGTGCTGATGAAATGTAAGAAATTTGTACAGGTTTTGAACCCTTAGACACTATTAGAGATATGAAGGTACTTACTGAATGGCGGTGTGCTGGTAGAAATGTTACCGGCAGTAAAGAATGCTCCTTAGATGTTCCTAGATGTACAGAATTCATCACGAATTGACTAGTGGGAACTGCACTTGTTGACGAAAGGTCGTCGCGATGACTGAAATCATTCTGGAATATAATGGGCATGCAATTCAATCAGTCCATGCAAAAATAAAGACTACTATTATATCAGTTTATTTACAAAATCTTTTATTCATAAAAGATTTTGCTATTTTACAAATGACCTTTTGTTATCATTGCTATCACAACTGAACAACCATGCATTACTTCCGGTGAAATATATATATTGCA